GAAAATGTTTTAAAAGTTGTTCATCAATTAATTGCTTGATCAGGATTTCATCATTCATGCGCATTTTAACACCTGTCATCAACTCGAACGGAGTCGTATCTATACTTCCACAGTATGTTGAATTTATTACTTGCTGTACCTTTTCGACAAATTTATACCATTTACCAGGGTATAAATGTCAATACTTAGCTTAGACAGAACTGATATAATCGTTGAATTGAGTCTTTCAATTTGGCCGTTTGCACGAGGCAATCCTGTAGTTATCTTATAATGTTTTATATTCTCGGCATTGCAATATTGTTGAAAGTCTTCAGACGTAAATGCTGATCCACGATCTGATATGATACGTACTGGATTTCCAAAATTAATACTGAGAACTTTCAGGTTTGTTATTGCATCTTTTGAAGACGTCGATTTAGTAGAGAATAGCCAACAAAATTTTGTAAACGAGTCAATAACCGCGAAAATGTGCTTATACATTTTACTCGTCGTCGCCAAAGGTCCAAGAAAATCGATGTGAAAAGTATGTAATGGTTTATCTTCTTTATGAAGAGGATGAAGTTTGCCTTCTATTTACCAGCTTTACGGTTGTATATTACGCAATGAACACAGTTACCTATGTATCTGTTAATTTTATCTTCTATTTTTGGTATGAAATAGTCTTTATCGATGACTTCCTTTGTTTTCCTCATAGCAAAATGTCCTCTCTCATGAGCTCGTTTAATCACTTCTTTATGCATACCATTAGGGACTACTAACAACTCATTGTCGTTCATCATTTTAAATAACACACCTGCTTTCAAAAAATAGTCATTATACGATTCTTTTATATTAAGGATGTCTATTATTGTTTTTATATTTTCATCGCTGAATTGAGCTTTTTTGATATTAGTTACAAACCCATCATCTTTTATTACCATCACAGCAAATCTGCTTAGCGCATCTACATGTCTCATTTGACTTCCTGAGCGGTGCTCTACCGTATAGTCAAAATCTTGTAGTAACAATATATTACGCGCTACTCTTGTCGCTAAATCCTTCTTCTCTAGTGTTTTAACCGAAGCATTACAATCAGTTACCAACTTAAAGTTTCGTCCCAAAATATATGTTCTGAATTTTTTATTTGCATTTACTACCGCGAGAATTTCCAATTCATAACTTGGATATTTTCGCTCCGCCTCCGACGTTTTCCGACTAAAATAATACACTGGATTTAATCTATCGGTTATACGTGATTTCTGCAATAAAATTGCTCCATATCCATCAATAGAAGCATCTGTATGCAACTCGGTTTCATTGTTGTCATTAAATATTTGCAAAACTGGGTTTTTACTCATTATTTCTTTAAGTTCGTTAAATGCTATAATTTGACTATCTTCCATAACGAAATTTGAGCTTTTCTTCTTTAAATCCGTTAAAGGTTTAGCAATCAGTGAGAAGTTTGGTATAAATTTACGGAAATAGCTTGCCAGGCCTAAAAAACTTTCTACTTCTTTAAAAGTACTGGGTAATTTATATTTCAACAACGCCTCAACCTTCTTAGGAGATGGTGATATTTTCTGATCTTCGATTTCATATCCCAGGAATTCAATTTTTCTTCTTAAAAACTTACATTTCTTTAGATTTAACTGCAAACCATATATCTCGCATTTTCGAATAACGCGTTTTAGATTTTCAAGTGCCGTTTCTTCATCGGTTGCAGGAATAATAATATCGTCAATGTAAGTCAAAGCTAAACCATCTTTTATTTCTTCTCTGAAAATAGCATTAATGTACCTTTGGAATACACTTGGCAAATTCGATAAACCAAATGGAACACGTTTAAACTGATATTGCCCACTATGGGTTACAAACGAGGTATACTTTCTACTCGTTTCTGCAACTGCTACATGGAAAAATCCATTTTTCAAATCAATAGTGCTAAAAATATTAGCATTTTGCAATGCATCAATTTGATCTTCTATTAACGGTAAAGGAAATCGATCCCTGATTATGACTTTATTAATTCTACGATAGTCTACACATTGTAATGACCCTTTCTTTGAGTCGTTGCTTATTTGCCGAGGTATGCTCAGTCTCTCCAGGATCGTTACAATAAATTTTTAATTGAAACCAAAATATTCAGAGACACGCTTATGTTTTCTGTATTTTATTGTTTAGTTGAATAAAATTTTAAAATTAACAAATATTGGTAAAGTTTAGCTTAATATTATTAGTAACTGCTTAAATCTTCCAAAGGACCTGTATTGATTTGAATATACCAGGATGCTCTGTAGTGTTTCCAATAGTTATTCGGATGTTGTGATTCACTTTGATAGTTTGAAGTTTTCTAAGGGGAAAATATGGTTAGTATCGATAATTCTTGATATAGAATTATCCTTTGTTTATATATTCCGTGAAATTATATTATTT